GCTTTGTATGTGGCTTCCAGTGGCCTATGAGAGACCAAGAATGCCTGCAGAGGCAGGACACTAAGTGTCATGGTCTGTGGAGTGGCAGTGAGCCTGGCCTGGATCTGGCATGGAAGATCTGGGTTAGCTCTCTCTTAGTTCTCACAGCAGTCAGGACAGGCACAATGTTGATACAGTGCCGGATTCAAGGCTATGTCTTCTTTCTTATTTTCTTATATGATAAAAATTCAGGATTCTGGTAAACACAAGAAGGAGTGGATGGCACAGGAAAGAGCTGCAAAAATGTATTTGGTATCTCATTGACTTTGTAAAGGTGTGTTGCTGCAGGATGGATCACCCAGATAGATTCTAGGTACTTGTGTACAATGAACAAAGAATTGCAAGTGCATAGTCAAATGGCAAGTGAAAAGCAACAATGTTTATTGAACATCATGGGAAGATGTGCTCAGAGCAAGTCCACATAAATAAAAAAAAAATGGCATAAACAGAAATATAGTCCTGGGATGACAGGAAAGTAAAAACCTAAGTATACTGGCTGGGGGTGGATTTTCTATTATATTTCCCCCTTTTTTAAATTTCCCCACCAAACATTTGCTGGGCATATTATATGTGACCTTCTGAGACAAAGCTCAACTAGAAGCAGTAACATTAGTGTTGTCAGTTATCCTAGGATGGAGCCCCCCAGCCAAGCTCCCCAAGATTGTGCTATTACAGGATTTTCCCCTAAGTTGTTTTTAGGAATTTAGGCCTGTCTGTGCTGTAACATTACTCCGGCAAGGGAGTGAGGGAGTTAATCTGATCTAAGAGAGTGTTCAGTGTGTCTTGGACACTCATCTAATCTTGGTCAAGTTTTTGATTGTTCTATTCTCTTGGGGCAACTGTCTATAGAGTTTAAGACTAAAAACACAACTAGCAGGGGACGGAGAAACAAAGACTGAGGCAATCTTCCTGAAAAGACACAAAAATCAAGGGGAATAGGTATGGAGCAATCCTGTGAACTGTGTCCTCAGGGTTCAGCCATATGCAGATTGGTTAGTGTCCATAGTGACCAGAGCAGGGCTTTGAATGTGTGGTCTTTTTGGAGTGACCTGTCTGGTTCAGGTAAGTTTTTCAGTGGATCTAAGGGTGGATTTCTGAAGCTTGTAGAAGTAGTTAATATGCACCTGGGATATGTGTGTGAGTTACAAGCTGTTTTTTAACTTTTCTAGAGACTTGTGGCCTGTATCCTGTATGTAGTTTTTATTTAATCTAGTTTTTTATTACCTCTGCTACAAATGCAGACCTGTTGTCATTGCCATTGATCAAGGGTAGGCCATACCTAGGGATGATTTTTTACAGCAAGACCCTACAAACTTGTATTGTCTTCTCAGTATAGGTAGGGAGTGGGAGGTCAGGGCCAGTCACAGACACTGAAGCCTGAGCTGGCTACAGGTGTATGGGTACCAGTGCAGTGGCTTTAGCTTGCAGAACATATGGTGGGGTCTGGTCTGGTGGCTGCAGTTGATGTTTTAATCAATCAGATCCCCAAAGAGGGCTTAGAAGTGCAGGTTTTGTGTCCTTGGTAGCAGATTTCCAAACAGCAACAGGAAGCAGTAGCAGGAGAGCTTTGGCCAAAATAGCTTTGTCCAAGGTGACTATAGCATATTTAGCCTGTCAAATTTTATTTCTAACAGAGCTACTTCCATCCATAAACAGGGTGTACTCAGCATCTGTAGTGGTCTATAGTTATTTAAGAGGTCCAGTACAGCATGTGACACCTGGAAAGTTAGGTCTCAGCCTAGGGTGAGTTTGTCATCTTTCTTGATCAGAAGCACTGTGACTGTTAGAGCTGGAGGCAAAGTGGGGAGACAGCCCTTAGTGACCAGAACCAAATATTTGCACAGGTAGGTCAATGGGTGTTCTAAGAACTGACAGTCTGAATAAGCACCATTGTTTTTGTGAACTCAAGGATCCAGATTCTATAGAAGCCAGCAGCTCCAAGAAATTTGCAGTTTCTTTTTTCTCACCAGTTTATACCAGATATTGTAGCAGAGCTTTTGTTGCTTTCCAGGAGGCATCTTAGGTGTCATCAATCAGAAGTGCAGTGATCTTCTCCGAAGAGGATAAAAAAGTTTTTGAACCTCTAGGAGGTTGAGGTCAGTTAAGCTTTGAGTCCAGAATTTGGGGTCTTTGTGAAGAGGGGTTGGCTGACAGGCACCAACCAAAGGTAGAAGAAGGCATTTTTTAAGGTCCAGGCAGCTGTACCAGCAGGATGTGGGTGGCAGAAGACTCAGTCAACATATATGGAGGGCAATCATGGTGGCTTTGGCAGTTCCGAGATTTTGAACTGGCTTTACAGGCAGGTAAGGTGTATTTCCACAATTTGACAGGCTATAAACATTTTGTGGTTTTGAAACCTCTAGATGTGTGGTTGAATTTCTAACTGAGCCTCTCATAGCATGGGGTAATTTTTGATGTAGGTGGGGGTTGCCCTGGGATGGAGTGTCACAATCAGAGGTAGGTGGTCCATGGGCCCAATCTCAGGGCCCAGGGGACACTGACAGAATTGTGGAGCTGGAAGGGACAGAGAAACAGGTTGTCTCAGAGTGGCCAAATCTGTTGTCAGAGCCTCCCTGAAAATGGTAGGAAAGTTCCCAAACCCTTGTGACAATTGAGTAACCATCCTAAAAGGTTGCATGGATTGGGAGCCATAAGGTGATGGCTGCATTATTGATGGCATAGAGATCTTGCCCAAGGTGAGTAACAGTCTACCAGGCCAATGCATAACTGGATGCCTGTTTGTGCTTCCCGTGACATCTGACAGCAGTGGAGTTTGCAGTGAGACAGCATGACTGATGGCCAGGCCCAGATGCAAGTTTTCAGTCTATCCTTCTGGGAGGAGAGTTTTAGAACTTCAGGACTGTAGTTTATCTGTCTCAGGCTGATGCACCCATCATCTTCCTCTCAGGGAACAATCAGAGTTGAAAGTGCAGGATTAAACAAGAGGGAAGCTGACTGGCTCATTGCAAAGGAGATGGCTGCTTCTAATTTGAAGAGGAGATCTCTTCCCAGAAGCAGTATAGATACTGACTTACACAGGAGATGTCCTCCTAGGCTGCAAGTTTGTGCCTGGCAGAAAGGGCGAGAGGCGAGAGTCCTAGTTTCCACAATGATGGTACTGTGGTCTCCTGGTGGTCCAGCTGAAGAAGGGAGCCTGGTCTGGCCTAGTCTGTACCCATCAGAGCAATGAAAGCATTGTCATCCGACCCAGGTTGAAACTTTTGAGAGTTCTTACCTTTTAATCTGAATGGGCATTTATTTTTTTAGTGTCCATAGTCCTTATAACTCATAGCCAGAGGGTATGGTCCTCAATCAGACTGGATTTTCCTTCAGATACCAGGTACTTTTGTGAGGTTTTTGGGTAACAGTGGTTACTGGGCTTTTTGTGCCCTTTTTGATGTCTTAGGAAGCACTTGACTAGGTTGTTTTTAGGTGAGGTGACCTTTGGGAAAGACCGTGATGGTAACTTCTTCATCAGGGCTGATAGTCCAATTTTTTTTTCAGTCAAAATGTGGAATTCAGAGGAATTTCTGACAGTCATCTCCAGTGGGTGTTAGATGATGCTGTGTGACCGAGACAGATATAGCCATGAAGCAGGAGGTTGTGGGGGAGGGCCTCTATGGCCAAATGCAGGTAATAGCTAGTTTGAACCAGTTCAACTGGCTGGAAGTAGATAAGTCAGGAGCAAGGACTGAAGCTATTGTTGTTGGCAGTAACTCTGGCAGCTGAAGAGGTGACAAGGTGGAATTCTCAGGAAAAATGGGCTTCTTTTTTCTTTTTTTTTTTTTTTGAGACACATGGGGTAGTTTGGTTTTATTTTTAACCCCATTTCATTTTTAACTGTCCTTTTCCTGCAGGCAGGGACTGTGGGTTTTAATAAGTTGATTCTCATCTCTGACTTCCTATGGGTGTGTTGTGTACCCTTGAATGATGGTGTAACATACAAAGGGTGGGTGCCCCTCAGAGGGAGACCATTCAGATGCCTGCCTGGCCAAGCCCCTCATGGGGATTTAGGTGTAACTTAGCTAAAGAGGGTGAGAGGTCTCTGTTATACCATATGTTGATTGCCACAGAACCACACATGAGGGCCCAATCAGCCACCAAGACCAGTGCTTCCCAGTCTTGGTGCACAGATGGAGCAGACTATTGCTTACACTGTCTGGTCCATTCACTCACATATTCATTCAGCAGGCACTTAGAGGTTAAACATTCCAATCTTCTTCCATTGAGGGTCGTCCTGACTAACAGGAGTTGATCAGACTCCCCTTTGCTCTAGGGGAGCAAGACTGACAGACAGACTGATTAGGGTGCCCTCAGTGGTCTTAAAAATCAGGCAGACATACAGACAGACCTACAGACTGTGTCCTCCTCCCTTTGGGATCCAATGTGAGCCATTCAAGTGGGGAGCCAGGAATCATCCTCCAGACCTCTGAGGGGACTCAAGCAATCTCGAAGGCATGCTTTCCCTTCAGGACCTGAAGAGGTCCTTGTTCTGAGCACAAGGGCCATGACCAGTCCTCAGAGATGTCAGCACCATTGGTCTTCCTCGCCAATGCACCAGATGCAATGGCAAGCAGAAATACTGAAATGATACACAGGATGTAGAGGTGGTTTTATTTACATTGACAGGCACTGATTGGGATCATCCCCAGAATATTATGTCCTGATCTCTTCTAGTCTAGGGCTTAAAAGGGATAAGCAAGCAGGAAGTACAGAGGCAGAGCAGCTTGTCAATTGGGGATGAGTTTATACAACGTGCATCACAGTGACCAGCCAGAGACAGGAGACAGGAGCAACTGGAACTGGAATAGGAACTATTTCCTGGGAAAATAACAAACTGAAGTATACTGGCTGGGGATGCCATTTTCTGTTACAATACAAGTGTTTCTAGTTTCTTTTCCTACTCAGAAAATTGAATCTTGTGTGTGGTAGTTCATCTCCTTACTCTTTCCCACTTTCAGTTTATCACTACCAGGAGTTCCTGTACCGCAGATTCCAGAGCAGAATCAGAAATGAACAGGAAAATATGCCAAAGAACAGGAGAAGGGGCAAGGAAAATAAATTGAGTCTCATAATGGAGAATTTGGAAAAGGAGGAGAGAGAAAAGGTAACTGCGAGAAGGAGGCTGGGATGGTGCCTAATGGGTGAATCTGCCTGGAAGCCAAGTGATAAGCAAATCACATGTGGAGGACAAAAAGATGAGCCCAAAGGTTGCTCTGATTAGTAAGTAGAAAGAGTCTACTTCATATATAAGATTTGCTTAATACTTGTGACCATTAAATGTCAGAATGGCTATGTGATGGAGTGGGAGTTGGGGAGGACACAAAGATTGAATCATAACTCTTTAATTAAATGTGATTCTCATGCTATAGAAACAGAACACTGAGGATCTGATATTCATAATAGCAACCCCCTAGTGTGTAACCTAACAGATCAGAAAATTTTCCCAGAGTGAAGGAGCTGTCAATGGAAAAGAAGGGAATGGTCCACTCTAAAGCTGAGCAAAGAAGAAAGTCCAGGGAATACTTAGATAGGCAGTGAATAATCAGGCAAAGCCCAATCCAAAGTGATGAAGTGGAGCAGGGAAATGAACAGTGATTGCCAAAGCAGAGGCCAAGGGTTCTTTTCCTGGAGCCTATACTGCCTGTAGGAATGGGAGGAAAGGAAATCAGATGCAGGCAGGTAATCCCTGACCTTAATTTCTGCTGGAGGCACCAAGTTTTGTTCGAGTTTGAGGAGAATATTTGATTAAACACTTTCCGTTTGCCAAGCCTAATCATGCTGATTGGTGGAGGCTCATTTATTTAGAATATAGTTTTGACTTTTATGATTGCTATGCTGTCAATCATCTACACTAAGTATTGAAATTCAAATATATTTAAATTAACTCATTTAAACTTAACACATGTTTGCATAATGCCAATTGTTTGTATAGTACTCTTGGAATTTTGCCAGTTGTGCCAATGGTGTCCTTTATAGTATTTTTCCTGTATGTGGGATCACACATTGCATGTAGATAGCAAGTGTTTTTAGTCCTCTTTTTATATGAGACAGTCATTCTGCTTTCTTTTGTCTTTCCTATCACTAATATTTTTGAAAAACATAAGCCAGTTTTTGCAAAGAACATTCTTCATTGCACCTAATAAATAGCCTATATATAATCTTTTCAATCCTACAACAGAGGGTGAGATAGAGAGAGAAAAGAATCTTAATGCTGAAGAGACCTCTAAAAGTGTCCCATGTGGCTTAATTTTAAAGATGAGAAAACTGCATTCTGCAAATTAATTCAAAATTAATTCAAAAATAGCAATGCAGTCATTAAGTTTTCAGGAGAAATTTGGTGTATACAGCACAAGCTATAGCATATTCAGAAGATGCCATGAAGGAAACAGGCTTTCCCTGGAGGAATCAGGAGTCTGCACACTGGCTAGGAAACAGTGTCAGATACCTTATTCACAGGGTGCCTCCTGGTGGTGGGTTAAATTTTCCAGAAATGCCCACACTCCTAGCTCCTAGAAACTGCCACTTCATTACCAAGATGAGGAGGAGTCCAAGTCCCTTCCTCTTTGAACTGGGCCAAGCTTCTGTTTCCATAAATAAAATACAGTGATACTTCCCTTGTCCAACAGCTCCAAGCTTGAATTCCCACTCATTGAACAGTAAAGTTTGAAAAATATCTGCTCAGTGCTCATAGCTTTTCTTGATAGTTGAACAAAAACCCAACTTGAAAAAAATCTTTATGGGTCAAGAGTGAGTCAAGGGTTGCATCTTGCTATGCACACAGTAAGGTGATGCTTCAGCCTAAGCACCACTCTCACACAGATCACATATAGTACTTGTCTTAGTGCATTAAAATGTTCATCAATGTGCTTTATTTTGCATTTTATTCACATAAAATATCATAGCCATGGCTCCAAAGAAAGTCAGTGACAGCAGCAGTAAAGCTCAAAGGAAAACTGAGAACCACGATAGAGTTAAAGAAAGAAATCAACTGTGGGAGGGGCCTTGGATATGGGAAGACTTGGTGAGCTGCCTGGGGACCCGGATCCCCTGGGCCCGGCCCCTGCCACCACTGCAGGAGGGGCCTTGGACTCAGCAAGCCTTGCTGAGCTGCCTGGGGACCCAGATCCTTTAGCCCCACCTCCTGCTGTCACCTTCCAGAGGGGCTTTGGACTTGGAAAGCCTTGGTGAGATGCCTGGGACCCCAGATCCTCTGGCCCCACATGTGTTGCCACTGATGGAGGGCCTTTGAACTTGGGAAGCCTGGGTGAGCTGTTTGGGTGCCCAGGTTCTCTGGATCTGCCCCCTGCCACCATCGCAGAAACAAACCTGAATCCCCAGAAACCTAGGGAGATTTGAAAATTACAAAAAAAAAAGAAGTGAAATGCAATCTCAGCCAAACACCCCACCCAGAACAGTCCAGGAAACATCAACATGGAAGAACATGGAAGTCACACACCTGAGATCTCTGAAATGATAGCAACTGAAGTAAAGAACCAACTACATCAGGCTATAGGGGAAATCAGATCAGAAATAATTGCTCAGGTACAAAAAGAAATGACAACCATAATGAAAGAATTGCTGGGCATATCAAAAGGAGACATAGATAAAAAAAATAGAGGAGCACAAAAAAATGATGGAAATCTTGAATGAACAGTATAGGAAAGAATTAGAATGCATGAAACAGATTCAAAGAGACATTCAGGAAATAAAAAATTCCACTGAAAGCTGGAAGAACCACTTGAATGAAAGAGAAGATAGACTCTCAGACCTTGAAGACAGCATTGCAGCTAGTGATAGGGAAAGAAAAGATCTCTTAAAAATAACAAAGGAACACCAAATAACAATTCAACAGCTGCAAGATGAAGCAAAGAAAAACAATATAGGCTGATATGTGTCAATGAAAGAGCAGAAGACAGCATGAATGACATAAAAAGACTATTTGCAGCAGTAATAGAAAATTTCCCAAGCACAGGATAAGAACTGTATATACACATAAGTGATGCATATAGAACCCCAATTAGCCATAACCAAAATAAATCTACACCCAGACATGTAATAATCAAGATTCCAGAAATTGAGCAAAAGAACAGGATATTAAAAGCTGTTAGAGAAAAGAAACAGATCACCTGTGAAGGAAAACCCATCACAGTCATGGCAGACTTCTCAACACAAACCATCAAGTCAAGAAGAGGTTGGAGTGAAGTATTTCAGGTCCTGAAAGAAAACAACTTCCAACCTAGATTGCTATAACAAGTAAAGATATTTTTCAAAATTGATGGAGAAATAAGATACTTCCATGACAAAGATTAACTGAAGAAATTCATGAGCATCAAACCAATCCTACAAAGAGTTCTGAAAGATATTCTACAAAGAGATAAAAATGACTACAACCTCAAGACAAACAATAGAAAAGAACTACCTAGCAAGAATGACTGATTTGAAAACAACAATATGCAGTATAAGGGCCATTGTTGAACTCCTACCATTTTGTATGGTGAAGCTCTGCATCATTTCCAATTTTTTTTGTTTGTTTCTTTTGTTCTTTTGTTTTGTTTTGTTTTGTTTTTACTTGTTACTGTTTTTGACTGTTTGATCAATCTTGAATTCCTATGTCTGGTGGACTCAGCAACTTGGTTGAAGTTAACAGTATGTAATGTAGCAACCATTGTGAATTCCCATCATTTTGTTTTGAGGTCATGTATCATTTCTGTTGTTTTTGTGTTGTTTTGAGTTTGCCTTTATTGTTGTTTTGTCAGTTTTTTAATTTTTAGAATAAAAAAGAAGGTTAAAAAAAGAAAGAAATCATTGCAAAATGTGTTAAAGTTCTGGAAAAATGAATTTACAAGTGTAATTTTTGGGCCTCAGAACCAATTACTTTGTTTTCCATTATTTTTTATAGGAAAAATATGTTTTGTCCTCAAACTTTGTGGTGTTTGAACACGGATTCAGAATGAATTGAGTTCAACAACGAGGTATCACAATACAGTGTAAATGATACCAAGCAGCCAATGAAACTAGGTTAGAAACAGCCATCAACTTCGTCTGGTTCTCTTGAATCTCATGCTTTGTGGACACCCAAGGAGCCCCTGCTGCAGAATTAAAACACCAACTTCAGGACTGGCTGAGTTCCTTAGGACACCCAGCACGAGCATCGCAGTCACGTGACAAATCTTGAAGGTAGGTCTTCAAGCCCTACTCAAACAGTCCCAGGTAATATTTTGTGGAGAAGAGAGTATCTGTTCCACTGAGCTCAAAGTTGAGGATGTGTGAGAAGAAACAAAATAAAACAAGTGATCGCATTTGTTTTCAGCCTCCAAGTTTTGGGTGTGATTTCTTGCTACCCAGTTGTAGGTAACCAGAATGAAATGCACTGCAGAAATGTCAAGAGAGGAAGAGCCAAGGAATCAGGAGCAAGGTGCTCACAATCCTTTCAGCTAATAACCACAACAATAAACATCCAGTTCAAGGATTCTGCTCAAGTACCTGATCAGAAGTAGGAACAGGCTCTTCTTATCTCTGAACCACATAGGCAAGATGCAGAAGTCACACCTGAAAGGCTTTAGCTTTGAAACCTGTCATGCCAGGCTCAAAGCACTGGCTTGAAAAACTGGGCTGGTTAGCCCTTCCACCTCCTGCACTCTTTCCTAGTCCCTGACACTTAACATGACGCCTCACTTTCTGTACTTTTCTAGTTTATAGTGACAGTCTTATGGCCACTTTGCCTCACCTCGAGAGTTCAACTCCAGCTCATTAAAACTCGGCCTTGAAGATGTAAAACCCTCACTAGGAACCTCTACACTGCAGACTGAAACCTAACAGAGGTGAACACAGCCATAATGCCCAATCTCAACCCTACTTCACAAAAAACCCAAGTCCTGAGACTTTCTAGCAAAATAAGACCTACCATGTGATATAGTTCCCAAGTGCAAGCTAAGGTTGCTCCCACTAGTTGATAGTGGTCCCATAAGAGTCATGGAAAGAGCTCTCAATCTTCTCTAAAATTTATTACCACTCTTTTCCCTTCCTCAAGTGCATCTAGGGAATAGTTTGAAGAGTTAATTGCAATTGATAAGCTGTAATTAGGGACTTATGTTTTCCCTGGAGTTTACAGCCAATAGCTACAGAATCTTATTAGAGAATTTAATGTATTTCCCTTTATATTTTCACTTACTAGAGGCAAAACTGGAACAGTGATGAAAGGCTTTTTAAAGAAATGAAGAAAGCTAGGTAAATTATCATTTTTAAAGCTTCATTATAAAAAGAGAAGGCTCTCTTAATGCAATCTTTTCCAACTAAATTAGTAAATATGACTCTCTGCACTTTTAAAAAACACTATTCTTATTTAAAAATAAATTAACACTCAAAAGAATATTCCAGCTTCCAGTGAAATCACTTCATCATGGATTTTAAAAAATATAATGTTGACTGTAGAGGAAAACAGGATAAGGATTATTCTGATTAAGAAACAACTTGAAAATCAATTGTATTAATGTCTGATTATATTAAAAAGGATATTTCACCTAGTTCCTTTGGTCTGATAATTTACATTAAAGATACAGTACTAAAATACATCCCTATCATGTCAAAATGACTAAAATTCCCCAAATTATGATTCATCAATAATAAATAAAACTTTTTTGTTTTTGTTTTTGGTACTGGGAATCAAACTCAGGACCTTACATTTGTCAGGCAGGCACTTGTGGCCCTGAGCTATATCCCCAGCCCTTTTTTGCATTTGAGATTAACCTGTTGATACAATGTTACCCCTTGAAAGAATATCACCAGTTATGATCAGTTATTAAGGTTTTATCTTGGACCTTTTGAACTAAAAAATTGATGCCTTGTAAAGTGAATGCAAATGACTCAGGAGAATGAGGGTGCAGGACAAATATGTTTTGAAACAAAAAGAGGTTTAATAGCTTTTCAGGATATTTGGTCTTTGTGGAATGAATACATGGATAAAGCTGAAGCTGAAAATGAAGGTATCTCCCATGATTTTCCAGGCCTGTCCCTCGGGTTTGGCAGTAGAATCCAGAGTAAACAAGATTATAAATTACTTAAAAATAACTCCTGGGTAAAATGTAATGGCAGTTTACCTCCTCTGTACTCTATGAGAGTCTATCCACACTTCTTTCCTTAGTAGACTTGTAGCTGTTTTTCAAACTTTAGCTTTTTACACCTTACCTCATCTGTAAGGCCTTCCAGGAATCTCCCAACCTCTGCAGGACTAGTTATTTATCCTATCTGCTTTAATCTCACAGCATTTTGTGTAGATCTCCATTTTAAGCATATAACTGCTTATTAGAACATGGGCCTTTAGAATTTCAGTGGTGCCAAACACTACAAGGATGTCTACAGATAAATAGTTAAAGAAGAATTGTGGCACTTATAATATTGATGTAGTAGAATTCTTTTCCAGTCCAGATGCAGTGCATAAGTTATTCTTCCTCTAATATCTTCAGGAGCATTCAAAATGAAAGGTAGAAAATATGTGCAATATACAAATCAAGAAACTTTTCTCAGTAATGTGTATACATAGGCATGTAGTTTGCATATTTAACAAAGCAAAGTTCCTAAGAAATAAATTTTTTTAATTTTAAAAATAAAAGGAGGAAAACATTAACAGACAGACAACCTTTTACAAAATAGCAAAAGAACAGTACAGACAATACAGAGCTACAAACAAAGTGGTAGGAAATTAACAATGCTTGTTGTATTACATATTGATATCTTCAAAGTGGTTTCTCATGAAAACAGATAGAGACATGCAATATTGATCAATCAAGGACTCATTGACAGTTTCTTTCAGCAAAGAAATAGAAGACAGTAGAACAACTATGTTAACTATCCTGTATATACATACATACAAAATTTTTCCTTCTTTCCCTTCTCTTTTCCCCCATCCCAACTGCCCTTTGCCTTTGAGTGTTTTCCTATCATTTCACAATGTCTGTCATATCTCCTAGTTTAAATTAACTCTTTGAGGTTTTACACTAGTGAGACAATGCCGTGCTTGCACATGAAGTTCTGATTTATTTCATTTATGAGTATGGTCTCTAGTTGTGACCATTTACCTATAAAGGCCTCGAGTTTATCTTTCTTTATAGCTGAGGAATATTCCATTATATAAAAGTACCAAAATTTTCTTATCCAATCCTTGGTGGATGAACATTTGTTCCACAACTGAGCAATTACAAATTGTGCTGCTATGAACATAGGTGCACATATGTCGCTGTGATATGATGTTTTTAGATCTTCTGGGAAAATACCCAGAAGGGGAATAACTGGGTTGAATGGGACCTCTAGTCCTAGTTTGCTGAGGAATCTCCAAACTGATTTCCACAGTAGTTTCACCAGTCTGCATTCCCTCTAGCAGTGGAGAAGGGTTCCTATTGCACCACAGCCTTGCCAGCATTTGTTATTGGTTGATTTCTTAATGCTAGCCATTCTTACTTCAGTAAGGTGGAATCTCAATGTTGTTTTAAGTTGCATTTCTCGAATGACTAGTGATGTTGAACATTTTCTCATATATTTATTTTCCATTTGTATTTCCTTATCTGAGAAGTGTGTATTCATCTCAGCTCCTCATTTTTGGACTGGGTCTTTGAATTGGCGGGGGCTAATATTTTAAAATTCTTTATATGTTCTAGATAGAAGCCCTTTGTCTGAGGGACAGT